AGGTTAAGAAGAAGGAAGATGATTATGGGAAAAAAGGAAGTGAAACTTGATGGAGTAAGAAAAACGGGAGAACCTGATTTTTGAAATTTGAAATTTTTTGAATTTTGAAATTCAAAATTAGGTCTTTTATTTAAAAGGTTGAGTGTTTTAATGGAGAATAAATAGGCATTAAAATGGGTAATTGTGTACTATAGGAGAGAGAATGTAATGTATCTATAAACTTTACACTAAAATTTTAAAAAAGGAAATTATGTAATATTTAAAAAAAAGAAGGGAAAATTAGAAAATATAAAACTTATAATTGTGTATTTAAGTTATTTTTTCTTAATATAATACGATGAACTGGGTCGCTAAGATGGTGTCACTTATTAATAATTTGATGGATGAAATGAATGAATTGTTTTCGTGTCCAAATTTTTATTGATTAAGATCTACTAGAAGTTTGGTATAGGAGAGTTGACCTGAATTTGAACCGATTGAATTTTAATGAGTTAACAAATGAATGGATCATTAGCTATTGTCTATTTGAATTGAAATGAATTGGACATAATTAAGTTAAATTCGATTTCTAATATAACCCCTTCAATTTTTACTAAAATTTAGTTGTTTAGTTTGCTCTTTTTAAAATTTTTTAGCACCTAATAAGTTTATTTTTTTCTTTATTACGACTATATATAACATATCAAATTTTAAAATATTATTTTAAAAATATTTTGATAAGCTAATTTGAATTATATATCAATTCACTGTTTAAATATGAATTAAACTAAATTAGGTTGAGATGAGTTAGAGTTGATAAATTAAATGGAATAGGGGAGTTTGACAAATTGACTTGATTTTGACACCCCCAAATCTACCATAATATTATTTTATATTTAAAAATTATTTAATAGAGCATATATAATTAATATTAAATTATTGGAAGTTATTTATGTGCGGAGTGAAATGCATCCGATTAATAATAATAGAAAAAATTGTATATAATAGCAAACTAATAACCTAAATTAAATGGAATAGCTAGGATTTGATTTAATTTTGCTCCATAGCAAACATTAGCTAAAATTTGCCAGCGTCTCTCTCCCAAAAATCTCGCTCGCCACTCTCCATTCTCGCTCGCCTCTCCCGCTTTATACACAGAAGTGTATAATTCTGTTTCTGTTTTGTATAAAGCGAGAGAAAATTGTATATACACATGCAAAAATATATATCTTCATGTTATACACTTAATTACACAATTTGCAAACATTTTACTTCAAATATTGCAGAGAAAAAGGCCAACGAATTATACAATTGCGAATTATACAATTGCAGTGAAATACAATTTTCTCTAGCTTTATACAACAAAAGTGTATATATTGTGTTTCTGTTTTTGTATAAAGCGAGAAAAACATATATCTTCTTGCTATACACTTATAATTATGCAATATACATACATTTTAATTCGATTCAACTGTATGCAAAACAAATTATACTATTGCAGCGAAATAGGCCAGCGAATTATACAATTGTATATGTATAGCAAATTATACAGTTTTATGTTTGCTATGGAGCTTAATTATGCAAAATTTGCTATAGCATACAAATATAAATTTTTTAGTTGTCTCTAATTCCAATTAATCAAAGAAATAGTAACAAGGAAAATTAGTTTTCTTATTTGACTTTCTATGATTATATTGGTAATAATATGATAAAAATAAATTATTCAAATTATGCTCAATGAATAATAGAGATGGAATAACAATGAAATAATTAGGATATTGTATCTTTAAAAACAAAGAACAATGTGAACTTTTTATACGTATAATGGAAATATTGTTCTAACAAAATTATTTTCATAAGCACTAAAACTAAATGTTATAATATCTATGAGGATCAAATAACAAGTTTCGTAGATTATTATTTAAAATGTTTTACTTGCATAAAAATTTATACATGATGTTAGAAAGAACTATTTTAGTGGTATTCTTTGGAAAATGAAAAACATCACTTTTCATATTTACAATATATCATTATATCAAGCACTATTATTTGAAAGGTTCAACATTTCTATAAGAAAGTTAATCGAGCTGCAAATATTTTGGCAAAATGGTATATTATAAACAAGGACTTAAGTATTTTTGTACATTCTCCTGTTTTATCATGGTCATCGAAACCCTATAAATTTGATCTCATATAAATAAAATCATTTTTGTCATAAATTGAGGTAGAACTATTTTGTGTAGAAATGATACCATTGAAATACTAAGCTATTAGTTTTATCGATCACATAAACTTTCATATATATATATATATATAAAAATCAGATTTTGGTGCCTTGAGATACATGTATCTCGAATATCTCGATCAAATTTAGGTGTAATTTGTTCTAGATACATTATATTTATTGAATTCGCATGTATTTGGATACATAGTATATCTCGTTTTCCTTCCTTGCCTCTGTTCTATTTTGCTCGTCATTCTTCCAAGAATATGATATCCCAGATATATGTGAATTCCTCTAGACACGTACAAATACATGTACCTAGTGTGTATCTTGCTTGATTCACATGTTCTGGGTTACGATACGTACAAAGTTTGCTCGTCTCCCTCCCAATTTTGCTCGCCTCCCCACCCACTCCATCACTTTCTCTAACCGTCCAACCCTCCCCCCTACCCTTTTTTTTTTTAGTTTTTTTTGTTTAAATTTCTTTTGTAAAGGTATTTAACTTTTTTTTACCCCCCCCCCAAACCCCACACACACAAAAATATATATATAACTAATTTGCTTTAAAAAAATATATACCTACCCCACCTAACCGTCCGCTTTCGAACTTTTTCTCCTTTTGTGTTAGATATAAACATATTGAAAATAATTTTTATTTGCCACGGCCTCAAGACTTTTTTAAAAAATAAATATTTTATTTACTTTATATTTGGTACACAAGTAGAAAGAATTCCTAAAAATATATGTACATATCTAATACAAACTCACAAAAATATATATAAAAAAATTAGGAACAGGAGGTTATATAGGATGGATAGAATTCCTATTTTTTAAAAAATAAAATAATATCAATTTTTTCGAAAAGAGACGGGGTGAAGTATGAATTTTTTTAAAATATGTAATATATTAAATGTGTTTTTGACATTTATCTCTTAAATTAATCTAAATTATCGATGGTTTTTGTTCTTCCTGAAATTTAATGAATTATTGCCAAGTTGCCATACATTTATAAAGTAGGTAATTGAATTCCACTTTAATTTTTGAAGTTAAAAAAAAAGATATTATTCAATAATTGTACTCTGGTACCATCTTCATGGACGATTCCATTTTGGTTCATCTAACGACTTTGACATTTTAATTGGAAAAAAAAAACAATTAAGTATTAGCATTAACTTAATCACCGACAACAGTAATATTATTAATGTATTTATAAGATCCCATTAATTAGTTAAACTAAATTAATAATTTTAATGGTCCTAACATTAAGGGATATGGATATATAAACAAGTACAGATCTTAGTCTACATTGTTATTACCGACATACTTATATTAGACAAATATTTGTCTTAATTAACAAGTCAAAGATCTTCTATTCTCTTTCATTTACTCTTTTTTATTTAAAAATTAATAATAATACATTTGTAGATAGTTTGCATGTATTTTTTTATTACTGATTTTTTTTTAATTCATTTTTAAACTTTGTTTTAGGATATTCAATGATTATGTTCTTGGTGAGCAATTTATTCAACTGAGTGAGGCTAACATGTCCTAACATTTTTACGCCTAAGAAACGAATTATCATCTATTAGCTATTTTAGAAAAATATTATTTTTTCATTGGAAAATGTTCACCAATTATTTTTACTAATAATGTCCTTATCTTTAAAATGAAACTTACTTTTAATTTTGTAATTCTAATTTAAAGAGGAGTTAATTTTTTTTTTATAATGCCATAAAGTTACTTAAGAATTTTTTCTCATAAAAAATTATTTTAACTAAGATTTTTTCTCTTATAAAGTCACTCAATTTTCTTGTATGATCTCAAAGTCACTCAATTATGAATATTTTACCTATAAAATTATTCAACTATTGATATTTGACTTAAAAGGTTACCTAATCAATTTGAATAATTTTTTCATTAAATTTTATTGAAATTCAATTTTTGTTTTAAACTAATTTTTTAAAAGGATAATTAAACAAATTAGTTCGATTCAACATTCCATACACATTTTTTCAAAATTAAAAATTAAAGAATCAAATTAAAATTTGATAAAATCGAACCGAAGAAATGAAAGTGAAACCTACCACAAACGCGGAGGATCGAATTGTTGACAATTGGGAACTGTAGATGTGGTCTACAATCATTTAATTTTGACTAAGAGTAGACCTCATTATTTTATCAGTTTTAAAGACGTGTATGTGATATCAAAATGGGTGGATTTCATCTTATATTACGATAATAGTTAAGCTCGCTACGCCCTCGTGCCTTTAGTTGAAGTATAGGTCATCGATTCAATCTATTTTGATGGGATTTTTCTAGTAGGTAGCGAGAAGATTAGTAGTATCGACAAGAGGCTACATCAATAGCTGAAAATTTCGAATAGGATAGGCTTGGAGTAAGTATATATATTTATGTGATGCGTGAAAATTTTAAACTATTATTTTTAAAATATTTTGGATTGTAATTTTTTGTTTGAGCTTCTGAAATCATATACTTTACAAAAGTTTAACAACGTATTATGTGATTATTAAATAATTTTTTTATTTTGTTATCGTAAATGGACTACAATACTCGAATTTGATTGAATTATAACCATAAGTACATGAAATTCGTTGGTTATTAATTTGAGCATCCTGTTATATATATATATATATATATATATAATAAATAGTTCTATTTAGTAAAAATTAGTAAATGTTGTGTTCACATTATTAATTTTATAAATTAAATATGAGCACATGATAAAATGAAAACAAAGGTAATATGTATTGTGATGAGAAGTTAATTAAAACATATGGGAGTAGTAATAACTTATTTTATTCATGATAATCTCATAATTAATCTCTGCATTTTGCAAGAAGATTGAAAGTGAGCAAACATACACAAAGACACATAAAAGTAATATATAAAAATAGAGTACAAAAACAATATATCACTAAGACTAGTTAGATAACATGAAGCTACAAAAGAACTTCGTCTGATCTTCTGTAAGCCTTATTATTTACTATAATTTTCTTCTTGAAAATGGAAAATGCCTTTCTTTCAGCTCAACATTATGCTTTTCCTGCATAACAATATAATATTGTGAATGAGAACATATAAAAGAAGCTAACCAAAAGAGAAGAAATAATTGTGCAACTTATTATTGCATTGCATTTTAGTTATATATGTTTGTAAAGGTTTAAGTTCATCTTAATTACCTCAGATATAGTAAACTCACTTCTTAGTAATGGTAGGGAGGAGGGGGAGAGGAGTAAACATAGTGGGTTGGTGGTGGAGACTTGTAGACTGGAGTTGGTGGTGGTGGAGACTTGTATGCTGGTGTAGGGTGGTATGGTGTTGGTGAGGGATGATATGGCTTCACTGGTGGTGGTGGTGACTTGTAAACGGGAGTTGGTGGTGGTGGAGACTTGTATACGGGTGTAGGATGGTATGGCTTCACTGGTGGTGGTGGTGACTTGTAGACGGGAGTTGGTGGTGGTGGAGACTTGTAGACGGGTGTAGGATGGTATGGCTTCACTGGTGGTGGTGGAGACTTGTACACAGGTTTAGGATGGTATGGCTTCACTGGTTGGTGGTGGTGATTTGTAAACGGGAGTTGGGGGTGGTGGTGACTTGTACACTGGAGTTGGTGGTGGTGGAGACTTATAAACTGGTGTGGGATGATATGGTGTTGGTGGAGGATGGTATGGCCTCTTGGGTGGTGGTGGTGACTTGTACACTGGGGTATGTGGTGGGTAGTGTGGTTCTTTGGGTGGTGGTGGTGACTTGTAAATTGGGGTGTGTGGAGGGTAGTGTGGGTCCTTGGGTGGTGGTGGTGATTTGTAAACAGGAGTTGGAGGTGGTGGAGACTTGTAAACGGGGTGATGATGGCGTGGAGGAGGAGACTTATAAACTGGGGTATGTGGAGGGTAGTGTGGCGTCTTAGGTGGTGGTGGCGACTTGTAAACAGGAGTTGGAGGTGGTGGGGACTTGTAAACGGGATGGTGATGGTGTGGTGGAGGAGACTTGTATACCGGGGTGTGTGGAGGGTAGTGTGGCTTCTCAGATGGTGGTGGAGACTTGTAAATAGGATGGTGATGGTGTGGTGGAGGAGACTTATATACTGGATAGTGGGGTGGTGATGGATAGACATGCACTGGTGGTGGAGGAGATGAGTATTGGTAATTTGCTGAGCTTTCAGAAGCTAAGCTAAGTGACACTAAAACCACTAAAAGAGTAGCAACTAGAGAGGCCATTTTCCCCATAATTAGAAACAAAGAAGAGAAGTTGTTGTCCTCTTAAGCTTCAATCAAACCCCTTTATATAGCTTTCATTTAGACATTTACCATTTTCGAGAATTTTATCGATTAAGGTAAAAGTCTCAATATAATACTTATAAAACCAACCTAAAAGTTTTAAAAAGCATTTTGATTTGGTTTTGTCATGTTGTCGCCTCAATTTGACTTGAGTAATTGGTATACTTTATTTGTTGGATAGAGGCTGCAAGCTAAGCGAAAGAATAAACTTTTATGGCAGCTATACTATTTGTGATGCAATAATTCAAAGTTGAAAGTCTTCTTTCTCCTCCCATCTTTTTAATAGTATATAATATAGTACTTAAGCTTTTAAAAATATGCGTGGATCCATGATCTTAGTAACAAAAATGCAAAACATCTTGTTATATTATATGACTCTTTTATATTACTTTTTCTTCTTTTTTTTCGGTGTTTTGAGTTCGCATTGAAGCCCTCACTAAAATCGATTACGTAGAATCCATTTGGGGATGATGCTTTCAAACTGATTTTCTTAATACTCAGGACTCAAACCTGAAACCTATGATTAAAGCTAAAACAGTCCCCTGTATCATTTTCTGTTGTTTATATGACTCTTACATTGTTTGAAATGTTCTGTGATTATATGTTCATCATAAAAAACAAAATTATTAAACATAATTGTACCAATTCCACATGCTTCATGAATTAATGATAAAAGTAGAATAAATTTAACTTTTACGATGATTAGTGTCAATCTTTGTGTTGTTGAAAAGTTGATTTTCATCATGATTAGTAGTAAATTAAGATTTGATTTATCCCTCTAGTGAAGAATAGGACATATGGATAGGAGAAAATAAGAAGAATTACTAAATTTATGGCATTCTGGTGAGAAACATAATTGTACCAATATTTCCTATCAATAAAATAATAATTGTACCAATTTCCTACTAAAATAAAAAATAATAATTGTAGCAATTAATTCTGACTGGTTAAATTACCTTCACATGTGCTTCAACAAGCATGCCAGTGATCTTTTTATTTATCCTTTCTCTAGGCTCAAAATGTAAGCCTATACTAACAGAGAAAAAAAAGAGTTTATTACATTAAGATGAGAAATTGATCAATAAAAGTGATAATATACAAAAATACCTTTGAGCATTTTCAAGGTGATTTTTCAATTAAAATAAAGATTCAATACATTACTTGACTTCAATATTAACCCATAAGTTAGTGACGGAGCTAATATTTCTAATAAAAAATTAATTGGGCGGCGTACATGTGGGGCGGCCTTAAGACTATGTGAGACGATTTTAAGGTTATTCGAGGGCGGGAAGGAATGTGGGATGGGATGAAGTAGATTTTTTTAAATATTAATGTGTGTGTGGTATGGGGGTTGGGTTCTGGCAGATTAAAAGTCTATGCGGTTTTATGCGAGTTCAAATGTAATTTTATTTTTTATATGTTAAATAAGAGTGATAGAATATTATTTATTAAGATAGTTCTATAAAATTACTAATATTCAAGATAATAAATAAAAATGATTCAATTAAAATTAATACAGTTTCTTAAGTACTTCTTAATTGACCTCTACAAAATAAAATTTTAAGTCATTCTATTAAATTAATACAACACAATGAAAAAATAAATTTATTTATATAAATTTTATTTTTAGTATCAAACTTAACTAAACAAATGTTAAAAATATTATATAAGGATGAGACTGATTGAAAATTAAAAAAATTGCTATACAAAACAAAGTAAAATAAATAAAAATCATTTTGCGAATTAAGCTCAATCCAACCCACACCGCCCAATAACGATCTCTATCCCAAGTCCCAACCACACTCCCTAACATGGAAGGGAGTGGGTGAATTTTAATTAGCATTTTTACTAGGTCATTTTCAGAGAGTTAAATCTAGAGAAGACAAGAAAAAACTATGCATGTGGCCCATTATTCTTTCCTTTTGGGTGGTAGAGAAGACAAAATGTTCAACGATTTTTATAGTTCTATATTGAAAATTTTATGTGATTCAATGAGATACTTATTAAGATATCATTAAGAAAAACAATTAGATCTTATGCATGGGAAGTAAATAGGTTTGGATGAACCACCTTGCGTCCCCCCTCCCCTACCACTATAATTAAGGATGGAGATAGAGTTCTTGCTGCAAGTTAAACAAAATTTCATTAATTTGATCAAAGATTCATATTTGTATTCAAAAAAAATAACTTAATATTTATAATTAATATCTTACATAGAATCTAGTAAATTAGTCTATTATATTTCAAAAGTTATTATAAATTCAAAATTCTAGATTTATCTTTCTCTCTGTTTTGATTCGACAGGGGTATATCTACTCTTTACTTAGAAGGTGTTCAATCGGACACTCTCTATCGAAAAATTACATTATATTTATGAGTAAAATAATATTTCAAATGATTAAATAATTCATTTTGAACTTTTTTTAAAAAAAAAAAATCTCTTAGCTCAGTGATTTTAGTCGTCCAACCTAGCTAATTTCTTTGCAACTTCATGTGTGCAAGCTCAAATCCCCTAAATAAGTTATTTGACCTTTGATTTTTTTTCTTTTTATTCAAAATTTAAATAAAATTTAAAAGTAATTATTTAATTTAAAATTAATAAACAAACCTTATTTATTTATTTATTCCATAAAGCTTCTAATAGTGAAGAGTCTTCCTATAGAATTTCTTTTAGTATAACTCGTTGATTCTACTTTTTATTTTTTATTTCTCATTGTTAGTCATCAGAAGTTTGTAAAATCTTGAAGCATAAAAGTGATTTCACTCTAAACTGAATTTTCTCTTCTTTTTTTTAACTTGTCCGTGTACTTTTTATTAGATAAACATAAATATTAAAGCTAAATATTATATAGTTTCATTTTAAAATTTTTGATATATTTTTTTTTATAAAAAATTAATCATTAATGTTACATAGTTTAATTTATAAAATTTAAGTGCACCTATTTATTAAATTATTTTTATTAGCTAAAAATTTCTAAATATTTTTTATAAAATTTTTAGCTACGCCAATGTGTCCCCGAGGGAACTAGGAAATTTCATGCATGTGTATCACTTTAACTAGGTCATTTTCAGAGAGTTAAATCTTAGAGAAGACTCGAGAAAAACTTTACATGTGGCCCATTTTCAGTACCAAATAAAGCAATTTGTTCTTTCTCTTTTTCTTTTTTTTTATATAGTAGAGAAGGCAAGAAATTCAACGATGGACAAATTGTAGCTCAATATTGAAAAAGTTTATGTGAATCAATAAGATATATTTTTGAATTTTAATTATATTAATTATTAAGTTTACACTACAATAAAGGAGACATTCTCATTTGGTGGTAATAGATTAAATATTGTTATAAAAAAATGTAGCAACAATTGAATTAATTATCTCATTATAATTATTAAAACTTATAGTAATATTTATATAAAGCGGTTATTGTAAAAACCCATATTTAATATGCCTATAATTATATTATTATCGATAAATAATTAAGGTAAAATATTTCATGTTTAAGCAATGAACTAAAGTTGAGAAAAGATATCCAAAAGCCAAAAGCCAAAAAAAAAAAGGAAAAATGGAATCCAGAAGGATCCAGACATATACAACATGTATGTTCAAATTGTGGTTGGCAAATGCATTTGAGTATTACACAATCATGTTATTATAAAATTAATTATCCAGGAGAGAGGAAAGAACCAAGGTAATATATATATATATATTAAAAAAAACTTAAATTAGCTTTATACTATGTTACTAAAAACTCATCGGCCATCGATAAATAAAATTTGTCATTAAATTTATTAGTTAACTACAAAATTTATCGAACGATATTCTTATTTTCCTTAAAAGTGTAGGCGTGTGAAGGTATTGTTAAGATTTTTCTTCAAAAGAGGGAAAAAGAGGTTGTAACAACTTCTTGAGAAAAGAAAAGATCACATATCACTTGTATAATAATTATTGATTCCTATAGTACCATTGATGGAAGCTTACTACCTTAATTTTCAAAAGAAAAATACAAAGTTTTTCCATACGGATAATAGTCTGAAAAATATTTTAACTTTGGTCGAATTTATTGTTGCGATACTAAACTTCTATTAGGGTCTATTACCTCCCTGAAATATTTAATAGTATATCTTTTTACCTCCTGAACTATTTAATAGTTTATTATAAATGTATATATGTGTCCATGTGGACACATTACTATTTATAATTTAGCATTATGTTTTATGTACACGTGGGCAAATATATATGAGTAAAAAACGGTATTAAATAGTCTAGGAAGAATATAATAAGTCCTCATGAAAGTTTTGTATCGCAACAGCAAATTCAATCAAAATTGAGTATTTTTTCAGACTCTTATTCCTTTTTCATATTAATTAATAATAATATGTTGAAGGCATAAAATAATAAAAGGAAGCTTCCACCTTAAACAATATTTGAAATAAAAGCAAGCTTCCACCTTAACAAAAATGAAATAATAAATTTCGTGTCGCTGTAAATTGCTCACAGTTAATATAATTTTATTAATAATTTTATCCATTGTTTGTTGCTAAATAAGATTAATGACAAACTTTGTTATTTAAGATTATAGAATTAGTCAGTCACTAATTCTTGATTTTAATGATGTGAAAGATTTAAAATGCTTGAATGACCACATCTAATTAATAATTTTTGTGCTTAATTGTACTCATATTTAAATAGACTCCAAAGAATCTACAGACTCACACAAGCATGAAAATGCTACACAAAGAAGTGATCACATATTTGTTGTGTAAATTAGAAAAAGTTTGAGACGCTTATGCCTAAAATGTTCAAAGTGCTTAGTACTCTCGAGAGGGAGTACATCTCTATCATCTTCAGACCTAAATAAATAAATAAATTAAGAGTGAACGTTTCACGTTCGAGCTAGTGTAGAAAATTACAAATTTATTAAGAAAAGGACAAGTTAAAAAATATGAAGGCACACAAGGAAACCAAGGCCCCAAATAGTGAACAAAGGTTAGCCCACAAGTTCAATCAAAAAATTATTAGAATGAGTTGGTTAATTGAGATGATGCCACTTATAAATAATAATTTGGTGTATGATATGATTGAAATTACCCATCTTGATTTATTACACAAACTTATTGACCCACAAAATTACTACTACACTGTCCTTTTTCACGTGGCGGCATTTTGATCATATCTTCTTTTTTTTTTTCAATATTGAGAAGAATTTGAATTTTTATGTGTGTTTTAATTTTTGAGAAAAATGTAAAAATATCTCTAGACGTTAATTTTCATGTTAAAAGTGCTCATTTTCTAACGTGTAAGTGAAAAATAAAATACCAAAATATTAACAATTTTAAATATTAAAATGGAATTATTTTTTTAAATAATTAAAAAAATATCACGTAAAATAAAATAAAATAAAGTAAGTACTGTTTTTATATTGGTTTTGCAATCTCCATTCGCCGAGTCAAGCATCCAATCAATATTGATAGCTACTTATTTCTAACCCCTTTTTTTTTGTTGTTATCAAAGAAATAGTAACACTCAAAATTATACTTTACTCATAATTTAGTTTAATATTTGACTTTAGAATTATTAAGTGATTGCACCTTCTTCATGTTTTTCTTTACTATTCTTTCTTCTTTTAATTAATATTGTTTTAATTTGCTCGATTCTAATATTTTTGAAAAATATTTTTTTTATTGCAGAAAAATAATAGTTAGACTTGCGTATATTTTAACCTCCTCAAACTAAAGAATTTCATTTTGTAGTTCATCATGTAGATCTAAGATAATTAGAGCGAAAAATTTTCAAAATTTAATAAGAAACAACAAAGTTTAAAAAGTATTTTCAAAATTAAAAAATTAAAATCAATACAAAAAATAGAACCAGAAACAAATTAGAAACAATATGTCTCAAAAAAGAAAATAGTGTCCCCTTAAGGAAATTATTTTCCTCAAGTACCCGATCGAGGTTAATGAAATATATTCTCCTATGATAGAATGATCTTACTCATCGACGTAGCGATACTATACTCACGGCGTCAGGAA